TTAAGAGTAATGGTACTAGTTTTTTTTATTTAGTTATTGTAAATATTCAGTCATTTAAATGTAACACACATTTTGCTTTTGAACTTTTTTGTGTTTTAACAGTGATCTGGCTAGATTGATATTTCAAAACGCACTTCTTTTTTTTTTTTAACCTCTAAATAAATGTCAGAATCAGAATTACATTTTGAGACCTCTGCTGGCTGCTTGACAACTACTTTAAGCCAAGAAGTAGTAACGGGTTGTGCACCTGAATTAAATTTAGTAATAGTTTAAGACATTTTTTAATGATGTTTAATAACCAGAGAAAATGTAAATTAATGTAGGCTGGCTGATTCCTTGCTCGGTTTTATCTTTTATATCATATAGGTCTTTTTATGTGTATGCACTTAACTATTTTGTTGCTTCTTGTAACTTAACGTTTCATAAATCATAGAATTTTTAATTGTAAATCAAGCTTCATCAAGTTGCAATGTGAATGTGAGAAATTCAAGTGTATGATGTAGGAAAGAAACCGATTTAAGCAAATACATAAAAAATGATGTGCTTTTATAGACATCTTTGGTGTAAAACAAAAGTGCATGTAGAGCTTTAATGTAGGCTAAATAGATTAGGATTTGTTTACTCTTCAATCAAAATGGTAAACAAAGTCTGCAAGGTTTCTTACTGATGGACTGGGTTTGTTTTGTGTAAGGGTTTGTGGATTTTTGCCCCTGACATGGCAATCTGGTAGTTTTGTTGCATATTAGGAAAATATCGCTGTTGTGACACTGGTGAGTGCTAGAAAATCATCATGAAGTTCATCCTAATGCTTTCTTTAGTTTACGATGTGATATGTACTTCTAACCTTTGACAGCTTGGCTTATACCAACCAGATGTACCTGGTTAGTGTAGACACTAGTTATTCGTTAAAGCTGTACTAGACAGGTTAGTGCTCATCCACATTTTTTTATCTTCTAGCACCAGCAGAGGGGCATCTCTCCTCGAATGTTCAAGGCCCTAGTTGGCAGGGGACACCTAGAGTTTTCCTCCAACAGACAACAAGATGCCCACGAGTTCCTCCTGCACCTCATCAACCTGGTGGAGGTGAGTGAAGCTGTGTTTTTGTCGAGCTCAAACTGCTCCATGTGGATATGCAGGTTGTTGTATCTCACATCTGAAAATGGGATTACCCTCAGCTTTGCAGAAGCACTGTTAATAATTTGACACCTTTATCTTTTGCTATAAATCTTTAAGCGTTTACATGGATGTTGACGATCAGACAGGTTAATGTTTATATGCAGTACAGATTGTATGGAACTAACTTTTTTAATGATTATGAGTTGATTAATGTTGGAGTCCTTATTTGGTTAATATTAGAGATGCGCCGATCCACTTTTTTTTTTTTTTTTACTTCTGATCCCGATACCTAAATCTGGATATCTATCAATACAGATACTATTCCGATACTGTTCTGATATCCTCATCATTATTGACTTTATATGAGGCTGTAATAAACTCCTCTCTACAGACAAGTACAATTTGTACAAATATATGCATGAATGTCTAAAAATGCAACTTGAGGTAAGTATAAGGTCAGGAAAACGGGAAATCGTGTTAACAGGAAAAGTCCAGTGTTAAAAAAAAAACAACAACTGTAAGGCTTTCAGATTGACTGTCAGTATTTATTCAGGTTTCCGGTGGAAGTATACCTTTCTTTTGGAATGACTCCAGATGTGATTTCTGCTGGCTCCTTTCGTCTTTCTCCCGCCTGGCTAAACAACCCTCGTGCTCTTTAATGTGGTGCTTTTTCAAATGTTTGATTAAGTTTTGTTGTATTGTAGGTTGCGATGCAAAAACATTTTTTTTGCAAACATTGTACGTTGCTGTCTTGCTTTGTGGTGTTTCTAATGTAAAATACTTCCACACAGCGGACATGTTGCGATGAAAAGTTGGTTAACCGATAGCCACAGTGCTGCTCAGTCCTCAATGCTCATGTTTTATCTGGCTGGAAACTATGAAATGGATTTTCTAAATGTGAGGCGGGTCTTATTACGCTGGTTTCATGAGACACGCCTCCGTTCAGGAAATCCATTCCACGGTTTGAAGCCAACTTGCAGAGCAGCCGGCAGGGAATCACGTGCCGAGACGTTTCAGCACAGACATGCATCATGGATCGGAAATCTCTGCAGGTTGGATCGGAATCCAATACAGACACTGGATCAGTCCCATCCCTAGTTAAAATAAAGCTTGAACCCCACTGGAACTGTCTGAAATTGATCACCAAAGCAACCTACTTTATTATTGTAGGAAAATGTTTCGAGATTAAAGTCACTATTACAGTGAAACACATTAAGTACTGCATGTTTCTCATTAGCAACAAGCGTCTCCTTTAACAGTGGAGAAAACATTTGATTGTAGTATTACGGCATTTTTTTTAAAAACATGGAGGGACTTCTACAATTTTGCATTAAACTTGTCTGCTTACTAGAAATTGATCCTGAATAAATGGGTTGGGAGATTTTAATCCTAGCCCAAACATGGACACATACAGGCTTTAGAAAGGCAGGGGCCAGTTTTAATTAAACACACTGCACCATCTTTTTGATTGGGCTTCTTTGAATGGCTTCTCTCAAGCTGGATTTATTTTTATAGTTCAAAACTATCTGTTACACAGGATGCCCAGAAAACCTGCCCAAACCTTCCTCGAGTGTAATGCATCCTCAGAGTAGAAACTCAGTACTTCCTGTTTCTTATATTAAACACAAGACACACTGAATCTGTCCTCCCAGCTTCATTTACAGTTTCTGTAGACGTTTGTTTAATTATCTGTAGAAGCTTCCACAACGTTCGCTTGCCTTTCTCAGCTGCAGTATCTGTAAACGACCTGCTGATTTAGAGATGACCTGACTAAAGCCGCCACCATCAGTCACCCCACACGCTGCGCCTGAGTGAAATTATAACTTGTGTATTTCTGTTGCTTCTCAGAATAGGACTGTGTTGCAGAAATGGTTGTGCAGACTTGTGCCTTAAGATGTAATGCCATCTTTCATCACAGTCTTCAAATACACAGGCTAAAACCTTAATGACCCCACCTACATTAGGTTTTAGGCCACAGAGCAACTCTGTGTCCCATTAATGTGCCACATTTGTGTAAAAAGACAACTCTCTGTGTTTAAATGAATTGTGCTTCTGGGTTAAAGAGTTGCATTTTGAACACTTGATAACACATAACTGTAACAATGATTTAATTTTAAACTTCAAATTTATGTATTCTTGATATTTTATTATTTTAGCTTCTTTTCTGTGTGTTTTATGATTATTTTTTAAATGTCTTTACTTCAGTAATGCCATTCAAGATTGGAATTTTTCAACATTTTGAAGACGGATGTATCTATATTTGAATAATCGTACTCCTCAATGTATATTTTTATTAAAAAAATGTTTTAATAGTTGGACTAAAATTAGACTAGTGTATTTATTATAAGACATGACACTTTTAGTGCACAGCTTTGGGTTCTGATGACACATTTGACTAATAAACATTGAAAATTGAACAAGCTTTAAAAAATTCTACAATCCAACATAAACACAAGTCTGTAATTTAATAAATCTGGAAACAAATTTCATTGTCTTCGCTGAATAAATTTGTTGTATTAAATATCTTTAAAAAGAAATAAAAAAATGATAACAATAACAAACACAGGAATGTTATAGTCCTCCTTTTAGTTGCACTTTCCATCCACTTGAAAACTGAGGGTTTGTCATTTTTAAATTTACAGAAGGAATTGATTAGTTCATTTAAATATAGTTAAGTTGGTCAGGAGTGTGGTTGTTGTCCATGTCTCGACTTTATTGTGCACCGGAAATGATATTTTGTTTCATTTTTTCACAGTCTTGTTATCTGTAGCTGTTCAAAAATAATTTTAATTTAAAGTTTTAACTTACTTGTTGACTCTTTTGACAAAGTTTGATACGGTGGTAAACCTCGACCAAATGCATGAAAAATAAAGCTTTGTTGGGTGTTTTTTTTTTTTTTTACTTGCACAGTTAATGTGTTGGTCATGCAGCCATCCAGAGCACCTCAACAAACAACTTAAAATCATCTGTTTTTTGTTCTTTCCTGAAATGCATATTGGTTTCGATTTTACTTTCAGTGCTGCATAACTTAAGTGTTGTTTTTAACAGAGGAACAGTGCCGGGTCTGAGAATCCAAGCGATGTTTTCCGCTTCCTGGTGGAGGAGAGAGTTCAGTGCTGTCAGTCACGACGGGTTCGTTACTCTCAGAGGGTTGACTACTGCATCCAGCTGCCGGCTCCCATCGAGGCAGCCACCAATCGAGGTATCGGGGTGGCATACCCACAACATACACACACACACACACACACACACACACACACACTTGCACTGTGCTGCTGCAGTGTGAAGCCCAGATTCCTCTGGTTCATTAGCTCAGGTGGCGTCAGTCAGAAGAATCAGCAGATTTTGTTCTGAAACATCTCAGAAGGTGGACATATTTACATTAAAACAATCTGTTATGTCTTTATATTTATGAGCTGTTACTTACCATAACTGAATCTATAATAATGTGTAATTATTTATGATTTCAAGGAGTTAATGTAATGTATCCAAATAGTAATTTATAACGTTGGGGGTATTTTTATATTTTAATAAAGAGGATCATCTTAGTCATTTTACACATCCAGCGATTTTGAACTTTGTTTCTATATTACCAGAGGAGCTGCTGGCCTATGAAGCCAAGAGAAAAGAAGCTGAGGAGAACATACGGGCTCTCCCTGAACCGGTGCGAGCACGCATCCCTTTCACTGCTTGTCTGCAGGCTTTCACAGAACCAGAAAATGTCCCTGACTTCTGGAGCTCAGCGCTGCAGGCCAAGTCAGCTGGAGTCAAGTGAGCACACGTGTGATTTTTATTTTTTAAATTCACCTCATCTTTGTAGTTTTAATAAACTATTCCAAAATGTTCTCTTTCAACGTTATTTCTCCTCAGAACTTCCCGTTTTGCCTCGTTCCCAGAGTATCTGATTGTGCAGATCAAGAAATTCACATTCGGTGTTGACTGGGTGCCAAAGAAACTTGGTAACTTTTGAATTTAAATTGTAATTAATGAGACCTAAGATGTCTGTTTATTGTGCTTTGTCACTAGTTTGATTGATATTACTAAGAAAATTTCCAGCAGAGGGCACCAAACTACAGTTTAATATTAAATTTCTGTCTAACTGGTTCAATTCAGAAATTGTTCACCTGCATGGATAGGTGCTCCCTTCTGTTCACATTAGTCCGTATCTGTCGTGCAGACTTGGCCATAGATGTTCCAGACTTTCTGGATCTAAGCCGGCTCCGGGCCACAGGGCTGCAGGCAGGCGAAGAGGAGCTGCCTGACCTCCTGCCTCCCATCGTGTTGCCTGAAGACTCCAGAGGTATGACACTGACTGCCATCAGGAATGGTCTAATGCCAAACCGATCCTGGTGTCAGGTCATGAGTTGTACAGTTTCACGGTGCAGTTTCTTTGTTTAATAGTTTAGCTTCAGATAAAATCCTGTTACTTAAAAAACCTGAAATGCAGTGCAAAACATGAAGGATACAAAGGGTTATTCAGTTTACTTTTGTGAAATAGATTTTTTTCTTATTTTGGAATTTAAACCAGATCAAAAAATTTCAAACTATGACTTAACCAGACTTTTCTTTAAACACTTCATCATTTTTTCAGACATGAAAAGACCAAACAGTTAAATCTTTTATTCTTGCCTAATGTCGAAGTTTAAATGTTAAAGCCTGAGTTGTATTGTTTCTGTGAGATGCTCTGAAGGTCATCATCTGTAGATGACTCGTCTGAACTGCTGACTTTTACTCTGGAGCATTGTTCTTATGATGCATACAGAATATGTTTTGGCATTATCATGCTTTAACGAGCAAAACTTTCTCTGTAAAATGTTGCTATTCACACTGTGTGTTGCTTTAAAATTAAACTACATCAAAGCATAAAATAGTCTCCTTGGGAAGCACAATTTACACATTACTAATTGCTTGTTTTCTGCAGATGTTTGTTGGGGGCGGCTGCTGTTTTAGCTTTTAAGATTTGTGCTTCTGTCGATAAATTTCAAAAATTGCCATATTTAAAATCTATATGTCGTCTGCATTTAACAGATCTTTGTACTATTTTCAAACATATATAGGTTTTAAATGGAAATGGGAAATGAATGTGTTCTGTTTTCATTTGACGCATCAAATGTTTCTCACTCAGACCTCACAGTTTTCCCATGAATCACCATTAGTGGCCAGCAGCATCAGCATCAGGGTTCATGCATGAACTCTTGAAAGAAAATTTAAAATGGCACTTTTTTAATTACTTTGGGCATTTTTTTTTTGCTGTACATTTTTAATGTCACTGCTCTGTTGGAACTGTTAAAGGACATTGTTTACCTGGAGCATTTGTGCTTTTATTTGGTGGTACTTTAACATGTTTTGGTCATTTTATTGAGTCGGCACAAATCTGACTTTGTCCAACAATGCTGCCGGGTAAGCTCTGGATAGAGTAGAAGTTTTTCCTTTTTTTTTTTTTTTGGACAAATTATGTGAAATTTGGTCAAAGCAACTCAAGTTATCTCTTTTAAGGACTAAATGGATTTCAAAAGAAAATAATTATAATTATCAGGAAGTTGTGTTCAAAGTGTAGCTAAGTGTAATGTCTGAAACTCCATCAGTTTTATAGATATTAGCTCAAATATCTGAGCGTCATCACCATCACGTACTCTGAGCGCTAACACGTGAGATCTTTGTTTATTACAATGGAATGCAAGGCCGTGGCAGATATGTATTCTTTTAAGAAATAATACTGTAATTTTGTAGCATTTTTCTTATACACCAAGCTGAATTCATTCATTCCACCTTTATTTATACAGGTTAGTCTGAATACTTTTTTTTTAATTTATGAGCTTGAAATGAGCAGTTCTTTCTGTAATAGCTTTTCCTCCTTCTGTTGGAAACTCATCTGCCGTGAGTTATCCACATTATCCTAAAATGTTAGTGGATGGACAGGGAGCGTTCAGAGGAACACTTCAGATTTTTCTGAAAACTGGAGATATTTTAAAAAGTACTTTAGGAATTTACATTTCTGTGCAGCAAACAGAATAGGAAAGGGAATTAAGCTCATTAGTGTGAGTGGGCAGTAATATCTCGGGGCTGAACAGGATGTGCTTTACCTGCAGCTCTATTCAAAACCAAATGGAACTGGGTTTTGAATAAAAAGTCCTCGGTTGTACATTTTATATCTGAAATAATCTAAAATAGTATTATCTGCAGTAGTACACACTACAGCTGTATTAGTTATTCTGGAGGGTCACAGCAAAAAAAATCAATTTAAGACCTTATGTCTAAAATATTTTAATATAGAAAAGTTTTTTGTAGCTATTTTGAAATCTATTTCTCTGAGTTTATAATGAGGATAAACTGTGGACTAAAAAGAGGTCAGAGTAAATAATTTACTGTTTTTTGATCCAGTCGGATATTTGGCTTTTGTTTGTTGTGAATGCAGCAGCAGCTCGTTATCGTCTTCCTGGCGTTAGTGGTGATGAATCATTGGTTCCCTCCTCTGTCAGAACAGATCAGTGATTGTCATTGATTACAGAGTGCCACGCAAATGTGTTTTCTTTTAAGCTGACTGAATCACAGTATCACTCATAACTCTGTTTATTGTCTATTCCATCACATACTTTTGAACTATTTGGAGAAAAAAAATTAATTGTTTTTGCGTTTTTATTTTCGATGCACCAAAACAACAATTAGAATTATTGGATTACATATTGGATGCACATTTTGAGGGGTTTGTTTAGCTTGTTATTAGGTTAAAACAGAATAAATTAAAAGCCTAGTATTCCTTGCCGAATATTTTTCAAGCCAATTTTAACTACGATCTGATGAGAAATTACAAAGTTCAGTCAGTTATTTTTAAATGTCAACTCAGTGATTAGTTTCTGAACATTTCATTAAAAACTGTTCATTGATTCATATTATATTATGCTAACAGTACAGAACAAAATGCACATACACACAGACACATGCACAAACATTGTCACCCTTTCACCTTCTGCACTAGACAATAATAAGGTAAAAAAAAAAAAAATCCAATCTTCCTCCTTAAATCTTTGTGTTGTCTTATTATCCCTCTCAGTTCAAATATGGAGTAGAAGCAAGAAGCAAATATAACGAATCTGTTCTGTTCTTTATGAACATTTAAATTGCTTCTGGTATTGAATTAAATTAGGCTAGTTACACAGAATAAATTACTACTCACTTTAAGTTTTTCCTTCCTTTTTTTTTTTTTCCTGCAAAACCAAAATTAGTAAACTTAACCACAGTCTATGAATATTATGAGTATTATTATGAAGACTATGAATATTATGAATAAAAATAAAAAGCACAACTTCATATGTGAAACAAATTTAAGCATGAACTCTGCAACAGAACACGTCACAAAATTCAGGTCGCTGTGTACAAACCATCTTTTTCACTTGATCAATAACTTCCACACATATTTTCAGCACCCTTTTCAGTCCAGGGTTTCAGAGGCCCCCCACTCCCTGTAGTGAGCCCTGGGTTAACATCGCACCCCCCCACCACCACCACCCACATCCCTTAACCTTGTGATTGTGGAGAGTAGATGGGCATACTTTTAAGATGAGAACAGCATTAATGTAACTTCCTTGGTTTGATTCCTACATGAAGCCTTTTCTTATGCTCCCATGTAAAGATCAACAGACTAGATTAAAACTGAGCCAAGGTTGACCTCATAAAGGTCAAAGTTATGCCAGCACTTTGGTTGGCCTTGTTGCTGTTTTAAGTGCTTTATAAATAAAGTGGAATGGTAAATTCAGTTAGTTACTTAATAGTTTTTGATCTGCATTTTTTAAAGAATACTGTAGCCTTTACATGATTTATAGGATCTTTTGTATGTATTTATTCCTAATATATATACAGTATAAGTTTTTAAAATTGTCTCAAGTGCAGGTATTTAAACTCAAACATGCCTGAATTTTAGCATTTATGTTTGTGAAACTTTGCTTTGATGTGTGTGTTTTATAAAAAAGCAATAATAATAAAAAAAAAAAAGAACAAATTCTCACCACATAATCAATTTTTGTTTTAAAAACAAATTCAAAGGTCTCTTATTATATTTTTTGGTATCTTAATAACCGTAAACATAGTTTATTATATTTTGTTTGAGTATTTATTTAGGGTTTTTTTGCAAATAAATGCTCGAACACACACGGAGTTATGTTGCTGCGCTCCTCTTCAAAGAAGTCTGATTTTACTTTCGTAACTTTAGGGTTGTGAAGCATTTAAAAAAACATTGGTAAATTGTATCTGCATGAAAAAAATTACACTATCAAGGTGCTGCATCAGTATAAACAAAGAAAACACAAGTAATTATTGGTCTCACTGTGCGACGTCATTAACAGTTTTTCCTCTTCTCTTTCAGATAACTCCATGAGCTCATCAGACTGTGAGTATTTCATTCCTCTTCTGAGCCGGACTGTTTGAACAAATGTGTAGGACACATGCAAGTTTTTACTTGGAAATGTATTTTGGGCTGCAGACAGCAGTGATGAATGTTGCTGAGCGGAACCTTTGACTACCTGAGCAGGTGCTCCAGGTGCTCTCTGCTTCCAGGCAAACTTAATTTTTGAATGAAGCTCTGCCCTTTTTTTTGGCTAGGCTCATTTCTCTTCATAACAAATCTTATCCCAGTAAAAAAAAAAAAAAAAAAGTTTTCCCTGGGGCTGGTTCTTTTTAGGTTTTTGTGTTTAATGAGTCCCAAAGAACAAGCGTTACTGGTACTGCTGAATCAGTGAGTGCATGTTTAGGTGTTGATGTTAGTTTGTTGCGTCTGCAGCTCCGGAGATCGATGAGGCGGCGGTTATGCAGCTGGCAGAGATGGGATTTCCACTGGAGGCCTGCAGGAAGGCGGTGTACTATACTGGCAACATGGGCCCTGAGATGGCCTTCAATTGGATCATAGCCCACATGGAGGAGCCTGGTAAGAAACAGTGCACAAATCATGGCAACACAAAGCTGAGGGAGATGCTTGTCATGCTTTGAATGAGCATGTTGGATTAAGACAGTTAATTTAAGCAAAGGCACATCTTATGTATACCGTACTTTCTGGAATATACGGCGCTCTGGAGTATAGGTCGCATCAGTCAAAAAATGTCTCATGAACTGGAAAAAAACATATAAGTCGCATTTATTTAGAAGTGTATTTCACAAAGTGCAAGAACAGACATTTAATCTGAAATAACAATAACACACAGAAGGTACCTGGAGTCCTGAACAGGCTTAATTAACATAACAAGCCAACAAATCCGACAAGCAAGTTACCATCCTCGCTGTCGCTTCTGAGGGTTTTTAGCAGAAGAGGAGCAACATGTAGTTGTCAAAAGCCTAGAGGGCCCTCTTGTGGCTGCAAATGGTAATGGTTACTCTTTGGTTCAGGTCGGTATGAGTGAACATTTAGCACGTCGGTCAAAAATTGTATCATGAATAGAAAAAAAAAACTTATATAAGTCACTTTGGACTATATGTCGCAGGACTGGCCAAACGATAAAAAAGTGTGATTTATAGTCCTGAAAATACGGTATTTGTGTCAAACTTTCACAGTTTCAACAGTCTGAGCTGAGGAAAACTGGACCGATCCATTAGACAAATTTTATCTATTATTGAGGTTTATTTGTGCATTTTTATCTTTCCTAAATAAATATTGAAATAAAACTGAACGGTGTGCAGACGTGGAGATTAAAGAAGGAGACACATGTCAGATGTTGGCTTTGACCACAACTTGATGTGTTTACAGCTTCTGGTAAAATTAATCAAATGCCATCATAACCTGTTTAAATATGTATTTATTTATTTATTTATTTATTTTTTCCCCACAAATGCCAAATAGTTAATCAACCTGAAGGTGCTGCCTCAGTTTGACAGCATGTTTTATATGAAAGGTCTAGCATTCCTTGTTGCCACCTAGTAGTTTCATATTCAGATCCTGTGCTGGAAAGAGATGAAGTTGTAGCCATTTTGTTCCAACATTGTAAATGACATGCATAGTGTCATGCTACATTATGTGACCTGTTAGTTTTCAGTGTTGAGCATCGTCCTCTGCCACTTCTACATAAAACCTCAGCTCAGCATCTGTATAACTGACTGAGTCACAGCCAGTTCGTTTATGTTGATTAGCTGTGGTCACCATCTTGAATTGGTGACTCCAAAAGTTAATGAGTGGTTACTTCCAGTGGTTTGTGAGATATTTTGGTCATAACAGGGTTCATGTCAAGAGGTAATGCCGTTTAAGTTCAAGCAAAAAGTAGCCCATGCATCCACACACACAGCAACGCAGAAAAAAACCATTTTCACCTCTTGACTTCAGTATCAGGTGTTATTAAAGTGCTTAGGTCTAATTTTAACATAACAAAACCAATTAATACATTTTTTTCCCCCTTGCAAATGTACCCTGATCTGAAACAGTGCAGTGATACTGTAAAGGGAGTGTAGGTGATTGTGAAAAGGAAGATACAATTTAAATAAATTCATGAAATTGTTTTTGTGAGCTGACTTTACCTACATCCAGAGGTGACCAGGACGGGTACGACACAATGTATAACACAAAGAGCAAAGTTTTTATCTTTTGGGGACGCTTTTCAAGCACAAAGGTAATTTAAAGTGAGAGCCACATCATATTTAATCTCCTAGTGTATGTTCTAGAACGAGGTTGTCTGGGTTTTATGAGCTGTATGGACTTTATGTACAATAAGTGATTCTCATCAGAACCTTTGCAGGAGCTGATTCAGTCTAATAGAGCTGTTCCCTTGAGGTGTTGACTCATGTCATTTATTTTTCCCTGACTAGCTGTAAAGAGCTTTTACAGTAGATGAAAATTAGAGCAGCTTCCTGCTGGTTGGGTTTTAAGTGGGTTTAATGCATCTGCAGAACGACAGCATTCAGACTCTTTACTTCAGTATTACAGGATGTTTAAGTAAGTTTAGTTCCTTTTTGCTTTCCAATCATTCCAACACATCATTTCAGTAAAATTGTTACCATCATTGTTTATACTCAATATTTATTTGAGAATAAAGCTGGTTAAAACAAACAAGAGCAGTTTAAACAAATCATTTACACTAAAATTGAATGAGCCTCCACTTTTGTTAAATGCAAAAATATGATCAAGGACAAATGATCTCTGGGCCATCAAATAGACCAATAGTATTTTTGTTCTTGTGTGAATGTTTGTGAAGCATTCACACTATTGTGATCCATTTTTCTTCTGTATATTTTTCTGTGTGACTCGTTCCACAGTTTTCAAGCTTTTTCAACAAATCATGTATCAAAATGTTCAGCTCGTTCAGGACAATCCTGCTATGACTTTTGGTATTGGTGCAACTTTAGCTTTTTGAAATATTTGAGCCTTTTCTGCTACTTTTTTTTCTCATAGGAAGTGAATTGAGCTCATTTTACTTCCTTCAATTCTTTAGATCTGTTTACAATCTTTTACTGTTCCTTTCACATTTTGTTCTGGTTCAGCTTCTTTTTGCAAATATAAACATTTTTACAGCTATTTTCAGCTAATTTTAGCTGTGTTTTCAGCTGTTTTGTGCTCCTTTCAGATTTTTCTGCTAACTACAACATTTTTGTGCTTCTTCTAACTTTTTTCTGCTAATTTCAGCTTGTTATGCTCCTTTCAGATTTTTCTGCTAATTCAGCTAATATTTAGATGTTTTTCTGATCTTTTTTTTTTTTTTTTTTAGCTAATTTCACATTATTTTGCACTCATTTCAACTTTTTTTTCTTTCAGCCTAATTCAGCAAAAGTGTGCTCGCTCCACTACCTTCTGGTTATTTTAGCTTCTTTCTTTTTTTTAGCAACTTTTCAGCTGTTTTTAGCTAATTTCAAACGTTCTCAGATAAATAAATTCTGTTAACTTCTGCTACTTTCAGCCTAATTAACTTCTTTCTGCTAATTTTAGCTTGTTATGCCCCTTTCATCTTCTACTGTTTAGCTGTTTTATGCTAGTTTTTTGAGTTGTCAGCTAATTCCACTTTTTTGTTGTTTTTTTCAATTCTTTCCACTTCCTTCTGAATAGTTTAAGCTTCTTTTTGCCTTTTCAGCTACATTTCAGCTATTTTTTTTGCAATTTTACCTTTTTTTGTTGCTAATTTCACATTTTTTTTAGCTCATTTCACCTTATTTAAACCTAATTCATCAAATATGTGTTCTTTTTTCTTTCTTTTACTAACTTAGGCTCGTTCTTCCTTTTCAGCTAAAATTCAGCATACTATTTTTATATTTTCTTTTTTTTTTTTTTTAGCTCATTTCAGTTGTTTTTGGCATAGTGGTTATTTTTTAAGTTCATGCTTACTTACGTGTGTTTGGACTCCACAGACAAACATTTTTATTTTGATGTGGCAGTGGAGACCTTATTAAACTTTGTTTTTACAATCTGAACAGATTTAGAGACCAGTTTGAGGGACAGCAGGTAAACAGAGATGACCCTTTGACAACATCAGGGAGAACAATTGTGTAAACATTATTTACATCCTGTAATGAAAGCTAAAAATGAATCACATGCGTTCATAAAGTACCCCTGTGGAGAAGTTGGTTTGTTACACACTCACTGGTATTGCTCTCTGGTTACACAGAACTATCTCTGAAATCTTCTCTAGGAACTGTCAAAAAGCAAAAAGCGTGTGATTCAAAGAGTCGTATCAATCTTGATGAAAACCCCCGACTGAGTCGGTTGTATCAAACTTGCATAAGCCAGTAAAGAGTAGCAAAAACTTCTTAAATGATGAAAATCTTTTGGAAGATATTTTTTGCTGTTCATTCAAATTACATTACCGGTACTTGCATAAAAGCAGAACATCTTGTAAACCTTGCCTGTAAAAAGTATTTACCTCCTTGGACATTTTATGCTTTTATTGCTATAATAAATCAGTCATGGCCAATAAATATTGGTCTAATTTACACACACACAGAAATCTTCAGTGGCCCATCCATCCATCCTTTCATCCATTATCTTGACCTGCTTCTTCCTTTTCGGGTTGCAGGGGTCACTGGTGCCCATGTCCAGCAATCACTGTGCGAGAGGCGGGGTACACCCTGGACAGGTCTCAGTCCATCACAGGACACATAGAGACAAACGAGACAAACATTCTCACTCACACCTAGGGACAATTTAGAGTTACCAATCAGCCTAACATGCATGTTTTTGCTTAGCGGGAGGAAACTAGAATACCTGGAGAAAACTCTCCGTGAAATCAAATTTCTAGGGTAATACCAGTTAAATAAAATATGCAATGTAAGATAATGGGTTGCAAAAGTATTCCAAGGGTAACGCATAGAGAAGATGGTTGTGTTTGGGAGCATCTCAACAAAAACATATGGTTTTTGAAAACATAAATGACATTGTTGACTTTATCATGAGCATGCCACATCGTGGATTTGTGGATTTTCCAGTACAGAATTCTTATCCCATCAGTTATCCTGTTAACGTGATTTGTTTTTTTCTATTTGTATTGGATCTGAATTGTGAGAACTGATCATAAAACTGCTGTGTTCAAGTTTCTACCTGAAATGTGATTTTGTTGTCTTGTTCTAAATTACAACAAAACATACAGCCTTGTGAGTTTTATTTCAACTTGTATGTGAAAAGGTCTCACGAGTTAAGCACTAAGCTTTTAAAGTAGAGAAAAAGGAATAATTATAGCAAATGATAATTAAAGTGTTTTCAGGTCTTCAGCAACATGTAGCAGGTTAGTTTCTAAGCAACACAGCCACACCAACCAACGTGTAAAACAAGCTTTGATTGATTTGTCGCTATAAAAATAAAAGTTACCAATTTGAGAATTTTGCTAAAAAAAATATTGAAATTTGTCAACAGAACTCGGGCGAGTAAATCAAAGCTGCACCGCTCTGTGTTGAACATAGCAGAAAACTGACACATCCGTTCGCTTTTTCAGAACTGAATATTTAGATTTTTATAAAATTCTGCATTTTTTTCCTCTGAAGTTTCATCACTCTCACTTTCAAATTTGGTAAAATTATCCAAATCTTACCCCCCCCCCCCCTGATTATTATTATTCTATGTAGTCTCTGTTCGTCGGTCTGTACGTCCACACATCCTTATGCTGTCTTGTCCCGCCTATAACTGCTGAGCCTCTCAAGATAATTTAACAAAACGTCACATATCACTCCAGCTTCAAGTTGAAGGTCACAGGTCAAGGTCAAATGCTATACAAGTTCTTTACTTGTCAGGGCCGGTGCTGTATGGCTGTATATTCGTTTGTGTCGTATGCAGCACTCTTGAATTATCTTTAAATGATTAAATACTGGTGAGTAAACATTAAGGCCTAATAAAACAATGAATCGTCAAAATATTTTACAAATTAAAACCAACCTGTACGAAGTTATTGCTTAATATTTCCTTCAGTTTTTTATAAAAAATATTTAGTAACTAGTTAAAAAAAAATCTAATTATTTCTTCCTCCCTTTCAGACTTTGCAGAACCACTCACTCTGCCCTCCATGATGGATCCCGGTCCCCCCGCCAGCGACAGCACCATGGGGGCCACACCACTGGGAATCTCGCCCCCCGAGGAGAGCGTCGCCATCCTCACATCGATGGGCTTCCCTCGCTCTCACAGCATCAATGCGCTCAAAGCTACAGTCAGTTCTCTTTCTTTGTTTTGTTGTTTTTTTTCTCACAGAAAACTCTTTGCTGAACGTTTGCAGATTAATTCTACTTCAAAACATACTTTTTACAGACTTGTATATAATGTTTCTTCCAAACGTTATCATCGTCGCTCACCTTCAGGAAAATGCTAGGCCTTTCAACAACTTTCAGATAAGAAACAATAATTTTATTTTTTAACTGATCACAAAAGGATCTAAGCAGCCAGCGTGGGCCGACGTGGCCTTCCTGTCTGACCAGATGAAGTGTAGAAGTTTTCTGTAGGTGGTGGTTTAGTCTGCTTCTCATAAAGAGTCGGGAAGTGGAAGAAAATCCGACTTGAGTAAGAGCAAATGGGAGGACAAAGAACCACCCACACAGTGTCACAAGTGACACTGTGAAGTGCACGGCTGTAACGCAACAGTAATGACTGCAAGGAAACTGAAAACTGGAGGTTAGATTTTAAAATGGTGTCAAAAGTGTATAAGAAAGCAGCAGCAGCAGGAGGAGGACAGGAAGTGAAGTGGTGTTTGAGAAAGAGGGCAGATAAGGGTCGAGATGATGGAGATCCAGCTCTGGGAGTCTGAAAGCGCTTTGGCTGACCTACTTGTTCACTTTCCAAACTGCAAATTTATTAGGTCCTGCAAGTCGGAGGGATTTAAGATGTCTTCTCTACATGCTGTTTACCAATAATTCCAGCAGCACATGACCCCCACCCCCCCTCTGTTTAAGGGAACAACATAAAGATCAGCGACACATAGACATTTTTTTACAATTATCCAGAGCACACAAAAACATTTAATGTGAAAAGGATTCACTTTTATTTTCGTTGAATGAAAGGAAATGCACCTGCAGCAGATGTTTTGGTTCCCCTCTCTTGAAATGGCTTCTTGTTCTCACATTTCATGTTTCGTATCTCAGTTTGCCTCCTCAGCAAAAAATAGCCCCCCAGACTGTTGGTGCAACACAAAAATAGACGTCAGGCTTCCATGTTTATCGTTGGTAACGCCACTGATCTCCCTGCCAGCCACAATATTGTTGTTAACGTGGGGAAAAAAACAACGAATGCATCGTCCTCCTGAGGGACGATTGTGTGAAACAAAGAAGAATCTCACTGCTGGTTTACTGTCAGCCCATATTTAGAATGAGGGACATTTTCTTCCCAGCCACACTGACCTCACATAGAGATAAAAAACTGACACCATCATCCTTCGTTCTCCCCAGGCACTTCTTAGACTCTCTCACCACTGTTTTGGATTAAAAACAAACATTTTCTGGGATTTAGCAGAGATTGATGCGTTCACCTCCCCAAGAAAATCTTCACCATGTTCATCAGAACACTGTTTTTTTTTTTTTTGTCAGGTTCTCTGGACGGATTCATAAAATAAAGCCAACGTCCATGCTCAATAATCCCGGTATAAAATCCAACAATGTTGAGGCAGGTCATCTGGACGGTTTCTTTTTTTTTTTTGTGTGCTGTTACTTTTCGTCCATCATCCAAAGGACTTTCTCAATCTGAGAAGCCACCAAACAAAACTGATTCCCACAAACAACATACTCCATAGTGGAAAAATGGTTTTGCTGGTGGTAAGATGGCCTCTGGGGCCCACCCTCTCCCCCATCGGCTCCTCTGAGGCAGTCATGCAAAAGTGGTTCAAAACACCAAAGTTCATGCTCAATAATCCAGATATAAAATGCAACAATGTTCAGTCAGGTCATCTGGACGGTTTCTTTTTTTTTTTTTGTGCTGAGACGTTGTGAAGGACGAAACGTCTCAGCACAAAAAGAAAAGAAAAGAAAGAAACTGTTCAGATGACCTGACTGAACAATGTTGGGTTTCAACAAGTTTTTATTTTTTATTTTTTGAATCTGTCCAGAGGATTTGACTTAACTGTTTTAGTTTTTCTACCTAGATTATTGAGCATGTATCAGGATACTGGTGCTTTTGGTTTTCCTGAGATTTTTGCATGAAGTGCAACATAAAAGACAACATTTCTACTCAGAAGCATTTTATTAAATCTTTGCATCATTCCAGTTGTAGTAGCATTTATTCCACTTGTTTCTCTGTAAATGTTGAATCGTAAATGTACATCCTACAGACATGAGCACATTACTGCCTCCTGCTTGTAGTGGTGGGGTTGATGATGATGATAATGTGTGTGAAACTGATACCTCTGGTATTTACAGGAACTTTTAAATCACTGGGATGCAGGAACTGTCCATAACTTTGCCTTTACAATTTTCCAGAACAATAATCTGGAACGAGCACTCGACTGGATCTTCATCCACCCACAGGAAGAGGAAAGCGACACCCTTTCAGACATGGCCGACACAGAGCCCAATGACAACGCCTTCTCCAACACCAACTCTCACAGCGACTCTACGCTGTCCCCAGACAGAGACGTGTCAGGCCCCCGAGTCAAAGATGGACCGGGACGTAAGTTTGACCTTGATTTGACCTGTTGTTGATCTTTGCCTGAAGATACCTTCAGATCTTGGTGTTTCAGAAAGAAGTGGATTGTTTAATGAAAACTTTAATAAAAAATAATTTTAATTACTGAGCTTCATCTTTAAAAATATTTTTATTGGAGCTATTGTCTTTAACAAGTGTGTTTATGGCTTGTTTTTGAGAAGTACAATGTTAAAACGGACAAATACTGATTAAAGTACCTATTTGGTTTTCTTTCACTGTATCTCATTCTGACAGCACTTGTGAAAAACATCCGTTCATTTATAGAACGTAACAGCGATCTGTTAGTTTGTAGCTTATTCTATTTCTGGCTGTCTTCCTATTTTAGGATATGAACTCTTTGCCTTCATCAGCCACATGGGAGCATCCACAATGTCTGGACATTATGTTTGTCACATCAAAAAGGAAGGAAGGTGAGGTGCAGACACTTCCAAAAATTGTAATATTTTGATTTGATCTGTTTAACAACATTGACAGCACCCAGACCTCCTTGATAGTCAAAAAAAAAAAAAATACAAGTTTTAATAACTGTTTCATGTTCCTGAAATCATCTGTGTGGAAAAACATATTTTTCCTTTAAAAAAAATGCATTTGGATATGATTTCTTGACCCAAACAAAAAAATATATATGTAAAAATACTTTTTTGAAACATTTTTCTTTCTGCAGGTGGGTGATCTACAACGACCACAAAGTGTGTCTGTCAGAAAGGCCTCCAAAAGACTTGGGCTACATCTACTTTTACCGTCGACTTTCTAGCAGTTAAAGTCACCCCCCACCCCATCGCCCCCACCCCTGCATCTTTTACAACCTGTCTTTCAGCCAGAGGACTGACTGACAGATGACTGTGACAAAAGTGAAAATTATGGAAGAAACCTCACAGACCAGCTGCTTTGCCTTATCAAGATCTCAAACCGGAGCAACCAGGAACTCTGGTCAGAAAGGGAAGGCGACGTGCTTTAATGTGCATTAGTTGTGTTTATGCTTTAAATGTATATTTCAGTGTTTATCTACAAAAAAAACCCCAAAAAACAAAAATATGTGTAGGTACTGAGGCATGTGTGCAATCTCGGTTTCTGGGGTTTTCTGTAAACATATCAGATGAGGATGTTTCTCCTTTCTGCCTTCAGCTCCTGTGCTGTACTTTCAAAGTGCTACATTTTATAAATGTATAGTGAGATGGCAGTGCTGCACTGCCGGCCCGAAACTGCAGCAACACGAGGAATCAGTGCGACGCTGGTGGCTTTACATTTTACTTTAAGTTACAGTGAATGTTCTTTGTCGTAACGGAAGAACTAAAAAGTTATGATTCAGTACTAAAATGATAAAATGTTACCGCAACTGGAAGGTTTGAAAAAAGATGTTAGTAAGTATAGTATTACTGGTTGAACGAGAGCTCAATACTGCCCCAGTTTTCTCCATTATAAAAAATATGTACAAGTTTTTCCCACTTTCAATCAGAAAGTTCTTTATTTGATGCACTGACTGAGTTACAAAGATAGATTTAGTATTTTCTTCCCAAACGCACTTTGTGACTAATGAAAGTATATTCTGCACCCGATGCAGTGAAATTGAACTTTAACTTGTGTATTTACCACTATACGCAAGTAAATATGATATGTTCATTTAAATTTCAGTGCTTCGTAACCGACTAGTGTTGAATCTGATGCTTCATTTGAGCATTTTTGTGTTGGCCTGTTGAACAGTGACTGTTTAGTCAGCACTGCACCTTGATATACACGTTCTCAATCCTGCATGGAACTGTTTTAAAAGTCGTTCTTTTTGTCCAAGTTGCAAAATATTTGCATTCTTGGCACACTTTAACTTGGCTGCACCTGCTGCCGCCGCCGTTTGGTTCCTTTATCACCCTGGCAGATTCAGACTGTGACCCTGAAAGGCAAAATAAATGTGTTTCTTTACTCGTTGCCATTTTTTAGGACCGTTGGTCCATTTGTTACTTTGAACAGTTTCCACATGTGGAGCAATACACGCTGCAACCAAATCCACTCTTAAACCAACAGGATGATAAAAGCGGAACTACTGAATGCATCTCCACTCCAACATACCCTGTGCATTACTGAATGTAAAACTGGTGCTTGTTCCAAACAGAACCTCCTCTTCAGCTTTGTTATTCAAAAACTAGTCACTATTTCAGTCTTTAAGACCCTACGCTGGATTTATCTACCAGCTCTGTACCGTCTATGCAGGATGTCCACAGCATTCTGGATGTGTTTAACACTGTTTGTTAGAGGGGACTGTCTAAATCTTCTCAGTGTTGTGGTTCAGATGTTTGTATTTACACCTCACTACACGGGACTGGACTTTAAACTTGTTTTGCTTGCTGCATCAAAAAAGTAGGCATTAAGGTACCAAGAATCCAGCCCTGCAGGCGTACAATTTTATAAGAATTAAAAGAAGACAAGGGAAAACTGTTGTAGCTGGAAGATGAACAAAACAATGGTCCGGCGTTTTCTTTTCTTACAGACATTCAGATAAATATCCATTTTACACAATAAATCCTCATTTCTGCCTTTAACAATATGATGCCTGAGCAAATCTACACCTCTGTTGAATTTCTACCACCTCATAAACAGCTGCAGTGTCTTGTCTATGCAGTGGGGAATACGAAAAGTCTATGCAAGATTAGTGTTTCTGCTGCTTCTCATCAGCAGCTTCATTTCAGTGTCGTGCAGCGATGTTCGTCATAAATGTGTCCACATATGGTGTGAAAATCGTTTCATTTGGTTTCCTCATCCTCCTGGTTTTATTGTCTTGTACTGTTTTCAGCTTTCCCTTCTTGGTTTCTTCCTTTTTCCCCATTCAGACATTTTGGTTCAATTTGTCAGCATGTGCACTAAACTTTGACATTTGGTTATTTGGATTAAACAAAGATACTTTTGCTCATTTATTTATTATTATTTTTCATTTACCTAAATGTCAAAAACCTTCATTTGTGTTTCCTCTGATGCCTTTTTTGTTTTTTTTGCTAACAAGTTAGTGCCATTTCTTTAGTTTTCATTAGTTTTCCTGAAGGAACTTTCTTGATGTTGGCTTCATGTGTACGTGGTTCTACAGTCAGTCCAGTCCAGTGGGACTGTTTACTTTGTAATGTTTGGTTAATTTAATAAACTACACCTTTGTTGAAGTTTGCCTTGTTCGATATTCATTTTATGGTTTCACTGCCAACCTTTTTTTTATTTAAATTAAACTGTTGCATGAAATATCCTGATGCATGCTCAGTTATCAAAAAAAAAAAAAGTTAAGTCAGGTCCTCTGGACGTGTTGTATGAAGATGTACTCTGCTGGCTATGACCTCTGACCTTTTTACGTTTTCTACTAGATTCACCCTGAACTGTTTGAAGTAGCTTTTGACTTGAATAATGTCTGTTTTCACACATTCACTGTCCGTGGACTCAGCTACAGTCTGGCTAATGTTTACGTTTTTATGCTTTTAAGAAAGAAAAAAAACTAAATCATTAATGAAGTTTGTTTTATTTGTTTATTACAGCTGTGAACATGAATGATGCTTGTTATTGTTTCAGTCATTATAATGAAATGTGAATATTCTAATGTGTTTCTGTGTTCTGTTTTTCAGAAAATAACTTCCTTGAAAGACGTCTGTGTGTGTGTTTTTGAGCCAGAATCTGTTTACATCAGAGAGGAGTCATAATATGTGAGTTCTCCTAAACCAGTGCTATTCAACTGACGGCCCGCGGGCCATTTTCGGCCCACGGGTAACTTCAATCCGGTCCACCAATGATTTCATAAACAAAAAAAAACAAAACAAAAAAAAAAAATATATATACATATATTTATATA